CCCATCCTAAGGGACTGTGTTCCCCATCCTAAGGGACCGTGTTCCCCATCCTAAGGGGTTGTATCCCCCATCCTAAGGGACCATGTTCCCCATCCTAAGGGACCGTGTTCCCCATCCTAAGGGGCTGTGTTCCCCATCCTAAGGTGCTGTGTTCTCCCAAACCATGAGTCAAAATGGACATTTCCCTCTCTTAGATGGTTTCTTTTCATGTCATAGCAACAAGAAATAAACAATGGAGAAAAGGCACCAGGAGTGTGGAGATCTCAGGACAGCTAATCTTCATTGTCAGCTTGATTGGATTAATAACCCTATAGGACTTCAGTGAGGTACGCTTTTGGGTGTGTCCGTGAGGGTGTTTCTAGAGAATAGGTAATAACCTAGAGAGGGAAACATGCCCTGAATGTGGGGGGCACTATTCCATGACCTGATGTCCCACAATTCACCTCTTCCTGTCTCCTGACTGCAGACGCCCTGTGTTTGAACAACTACCTCACGTTCCTGCTACCGTGGAGAACCCTCCGACTGCGGTCTGAAACCAACCCTTCCTTCCTTGACTTACGCTTGTCTGCTGTGTTGTCCCAGAAACTGAAAACAACCAGGGCAGAGTAGGTGTGGAGGTGCAGACTCACTTTTGTGTGCTCAGATGGTAATCGCTGTAGAACAACAGGTCGAGGAAAAACAATGACCCTCACTGAATCGCTTCCACCCCTACCAAGATTCGATCCTCAGGTTATCTGCATCCACCACTGTGCTGAATGAAACACCTGACAGAAGAGACCTGAAGAAGGAAGGACGTGTCCCAGCTCATGTCTGAGAGGTTGGGACCCATCACGTCAGGAAAGCATGGTAGAGTCGATAGTGGTTGATAATTGTGGCTAAGACTCTTTACATATGGTGGGGCAGGAATCAGGGAAGTCTAGACAGAGTGCGCCGAGCTGTAATTCGTTTTCTTTCCATTAGCCAGACTCCACCTCTAAGAAGTTTCTTGACCTCTCAAAACGGCTGGAGTCCTCCTCAGCCAGAGACTGAGTGCTACACTTTCTAGTCAGACCACAACAAACAGTGTTTTTCCTGTCAGTTTCTGTCTATTTGCTGAAAACTCACACCGTCTTGATTTCTGCAGCTTTACAGTGAATCTTGAAACCAGGGGAGACGGATCCTATAATTTCATTCCTTTACAAGTGTTGCTCCCGTGCACGCATGTGTGTATGTGTGTGTGTGATGTGGTGTGTGTATGTGTCTGTGTGTGTGCGTGTGTGAGATGAGGTTTGTGTGTGTGTGTGTGTGTGATATGGTGCGTCTGTGTTTGTGTATGTGTGTGTGTGATGTGGTGTGTGTATGTGTATGTGTGTCTGTGTCTGTGTGTATGTGTCTGTGTGTGTGCGTGTGTGAGATGAGGTTTGTGTATGTATGTGTCTGTGTGTGTGTGATATGGTGCGTCTGTGTTTGTGTATGTGTGTGTGTGTGGTGTGTGTCTGTGTATGTGTGTGTGATGTGGTGTGTGTTATATATGTATATATACATGCATGTTGTCTTAGTTAGGTTCTTATCACTGTGAAGGGACACTGTGACTTTGGCAACTCCTATAAATGAAAACATTCAATTGAGGCTTGCTTACAGTTCAGAGATTCAGTCCATTATCATCATGGTGGGACTTGGTGGCATGTAGACAGACATGGAACTGGCTACATCTTGATCTGAAAGCAGTAGGAAGTCGACTGACTGTCACACTGAGGGAAGCTTGAGAAAAAGAGACCTCAAAGCCCGCCCTCACAGTGACACACTCCCTCCAACAAGGCCACACCTCCTAATAGTGCCCCTCCTTTGGGGGGCCATTTTCTTTCAAACCACCACACACGTGCATTTAGTTTTGTGTATGCATGCTTGTGGAAGCCAGAGGACATTTCTTAGGACACAGTCCACCTTGTTTTTGAGACAGGGCCTCCCACTGGCCTGAAACACACTGGTTAGTGAGGCTGGCTGGCAGTGAGCCCCAGGAATCCACATGCCTCCACCTCCTGGGGATTACAAGTGTGTACCACAATGTTCAGCTCTTTAGTTATTTAGTTATCTAGTTAGTTTTGTTTTTTGAGATAGGGTTTCTCTGTGTAGTTTTTGGTACCTGTCCTGGGGATGAATGGGAGGAGAATCAATATCATAAAAACTGAGAGATTTTTAATCAACTCTTCACATGTTTTATTGTTCCATGCGTATGGGTGTTTTGCCTGCATGTATGTCTGTATACCACATGCATGCAGTGCCTAAGGAGGGCATGAGAGACTGTCAGGTCCCCTGAAACTGGAGTTACAGGTGATTGTAAGCTGCCATGTAGGAGCTGGGAACTGACCCTGGGAAGAAGCCTGTGCTCTGGACCACTGAGCCACCCCTCCAGCCCCTCAACTCTTAATTTCTGGTCCTTGTCCCCAGTCTTTGAAAAGGACAGTGGCTGAAGATCGGCTTCAATCCCAGTCTGTGGATGACTGGGAGGTGGTGGGCCCTTTAAGAGGAGGGGCCTAGAGGAAGGGGTTGGCCCACTGAGTGCGCAGCTCTTGATGGGGGTCTTGGGGCGCGGTCTCTTCCATGCTTTGGCTTCCCCAGGCCATGAGATTGCTTTGCCGCATGTCCCCACCATGGCCCACTGCCTTGCCACAGGCACAAAACAACAGGACCAAGTTACCATGGACCACGGCCTCTGAAACAGCAGGCCAGAGCAAGACGTTCTTCCGGAGAGGCTGATTTTCTCAGGGTTTTGACACAGTGGCAGAAAGCTGCCCCGTTGTGTGGGTCAGAGTTCTCTGGAGGAACAGAACCGGCAGAATGAATATGGATTACGAAGGGCTGGCCGGTCCAGCCAGGGCCATCTGCACACCGGAAAGGCTGAGACCCTGGTAGCCGTCAGCCCACCGAGCTCCAAACCTCAGCGATCCCGGTGCGATGCGGAAGGCCTGGAGGCTTCCCAGAGAGGCCCTGGTGTTCCATTTACGCTGGGAGACAGAAGACGCTGGGGTCTGATGTCAGTGCAAGATGAAGTCAGTGCAGCTGCGATGGTGACAGTCCACACACACACACACACACACACACACACACACACACACACACACACACCAAACGACATTGTTCTTCCCTCGAGCCTCTGTCTGGGCTGCTGCCCCAGAAGTACCACCTCCCCTTTAGGTGGGTCTGCTCCCCTCAGGTACTTCTTCCTGGAAATGCCCCCTAAACCCATCCAGAGGCTTGTCTCTCAGGTGCTTCCAGAACCAATTACGTTCACAGTCACGATTAACCATCATACACATCACTATAAAAAGCGTCTTATTCAGTGGAGCCACGGTGAAGTGGGAGAAAGATTAGCCGGGCACGTCCACCGTGGGCATTTCGCCGTGGTGAAGTACGGAATGGATTAACCGGGCACGTCCACTGTGGGCGTTTGGCTATAGGTACGGCTATGAGTGGTTGACATTACATAATCCTGGTGTCTGAAATCCCACCCTTGAGCCTACTTTGGGGTAGGCTGTGAAGAATGCTTAAAATACCGCTGCCAAGGGAAAAGAGTCGTCCAGGAAATCCTTTCTTGGCCTTTCACAACGGTGCCGATGCCATGCCTGCGAGCGGCCTTGGCAGGCTTTGGAGGAGAGCAGATGTTGGTGGGGGTGGGAGCCCGAGCCGCGTGCTTTGCAGCTCTGGACTTGGCTCCCAGCTCTCCTCCTACCAGTTGTGTGACCCCAGGCAAGCCACTTAATCTCTCTGAGCCTTGCTTCCCTTGGCGGTGGGGGAGCGGTAGGGTTGTTTTCAGGAGTCAACATATCGTGAACCTGAAAAAGTAAGGTTGCAGGAAGCAGGAAACGTTGCAACTACAATCGTGATTGCTATTGTCTTGGTGCTCAGACAGGAGAGAAGAGGAACTAACTCGCGCTGGCTGGGGTGGCGGTCCGGTGAATAAAGAGCTTGCCGTACAATCGCGGGAGCTTGAGCTCAGATTCCCAGCATCTACTTAAAAGGCAGGCATGATGGATGGTGGCGCATATCTACAATCTTAGCACTAGAGAGGCCGAGAGATCCATATCCCTGGAGCCCACTGGCCAGCCAGCCTCACCCAGTCAGTGAGCCCCAGGTTCAGCGAGATACCCTGCCTCAAAAATAGATAGGTAGATAGATGATAGATAGATAGATAGATAGATAGATAGATAGATAGATAGATAGATGATAGATAGATAGATAGATAGATAGATAGATAGATA